CCAAAATGGTGAAAAATCAAATATGGCGGAAAATGACATCATGCAATCATCTCGGCTTGGCCCAAGGATTCCAGCCACACCTCATTTGTGAAAATCGGACAAACGGATCAATAGTTATAAGCATGAATGCATGTCCAAATTTGACCCATTGGTGGCGCTAGATCTCTTGACCTATTGACCTCAAATTGGCTGTGAGGGACCATGAGCTTATCCTGAACCAGTGTGCAAAATTTCACAACTTTTTACCAAGGCATTTTATGGGCTGCTAACATATGCTGCAAGGCTTCCAGAAATACATCTCCTACTGTATTGTCTTTTAAAAGAACCCAAGAAATGAATGTACAAAAAAAAGACAAAATTAATGTTTTTGGATTATTTGACATGCCTTCTTTCCAGATTCGTTGCAAAATCAAGACAAAACCTCATAACGGGCTGTAAATGTCGTAGTTAAGTATAGTTAATAAACTGAGATGTAAAAACATAGTCAATCAGTGTGTTCCATTTCATTCAGCAGTAATGCACTACATGTTTCACACAACATAGGCCAGCGCTGAGTCCTGACTGTCTTTTCACCTTAGAAAATTAAATTAATCACTCATCAGCCAAGCAAGGCGCTGTGCACAATGACAAATTTACAAGTCTATTTATGCAAATGAACCAGTGTGGGAGAAAAGGCTTCTACATAAAATACAATTGGATGAAAGATTCTTTGTCGAGGTCCTAAACTCAATTAGCCCCTTGAGAACTACAAATGCGACGTGCTAGCCGTTTGATGAAAAGCACTGCTATTTTTCTCTCCGTTCTCCTCGGGCGGCTGCTTTTAAGATAAAAACTGAAACATGTTATCAATTGAAGCACCAGTCCGTTGTTTAGTCATGATAACTCAGCTGCTATTTGTAAGCGTAGTAAAATGTCTGCGTTTATGAAGGCAATTTTACAGCGCAGTGCTACAATACAAATTCGTCAATGTTTGCTATTACATGTAAAAGTAATTACAGCACTAGAGAGCAGTCAAGTTAACTGCTCCATAAATAATAATGACTTTGTGGAGCTCTGTGGTTATGCTTCGACTGTGGTCAAGCATGATGATGGTGTTATTGGGTTTCTTGTTTTTATCTGGCCTTAGCCGCAAATATCATACATGTACTAGTATATGCAGGCCTGGGTGTATTTGAGTTTCAGAGGAAGGCAAGCAGAATAAGTTTCCATTAATTTTCATTATTTTACTCACCTGAAATGAGGGTGCAAACATTTTAACTGAGGTAGCAGTGCACTGTTTTGCACCCCTAGACTCCGGCCTGTGCACACGCAGAATTCACTGGATTCTGAGGAATATAATTATGGTCATTGCCGTAGCTTTTACCCATTCAGATCTGATTATTCTGTTTTTTGAATGGTCAAACATCATAACCCTTGAATACCTACTTTAAATATTACAAACTGATATTCTCAGAAAAACAAATTTTAAATAAGAGGTATTTTTTCTCTCTCCCGCATTGATGAACAGCAATGGTGACATTGATGATTTCTGATAGAGATTTGAACCTGCCTCCCAACCATGAGTAAAATAAAAAAAGAATAAAATCATCATAAACCTTTAGCAGAAGCTGAAGATGGTGAAGTACTTAAAGTCGATCTATGATATTCGTTGTCACTAATATCAGGCTACGTAGAAATTGCAGGACAGGAACATGCTGAATTGGCAGAGCTTAATTTCAGATATCTGTGGCTGATATCCGCCATATCAGACCACTGTAAAAGAAATAACCACATTATGGATCGAGACAGGGTTTGGCTCATTGGATCGGAAAACAAGTTCAAACGCTGGATCAGGGAGGCCATTAAAATTAGAAAACAAGACACGGACAGCATTAACCATGATAACAAAGCGTTCCTCCTTTCACACGCCTGGGACACCCTCCTCCAGAGAACACCAGGCGACGGGAGGCGTGGTCAGTCTGAGTGACCTGCAGGTCCATCAAGCTGACCACACATACAGGAAGTAACAACAGCTGATATATATGATACGTCACCACCAACACCGGTGACAGTTCTGATGATGGCTTAAAGCTAGCAGCTTAAATATGTCAACGAGACTCTACTGTATTGTCTTTAAAAAGAACCCAAAAAGTTAAAGTACATAAGAAGACAAAATGAACATCTTTGGCTTAAGGACCTGGATGTCTTAGAGGAATCTGTCCCTGCACCATAGGAACAAAAAACCTTCTGCAGAAGATATAAGTAACATGGTTGAAGTGGAGCTGCTCACTAACATCAGAGAAGCTCAAACTGACAAAGGAGTTCTCCATGGCAACAATGACACTAAAGAGACAGAAGAACCTCCAGTTGTAGTTAACGAGGTATCTCCTTCTCCAACTGCAAAATCAGACTCCTCTCTGCCTGACCTACAAGATCTCCATGGCAACATCGAATCAGGTAAAGGCAGAGATGACTGAGCAGAAATGTCCTGAATTGGCTAAACATCCCACTGCCCCACGGAAACCAGAAGAAATTAGCAATGCATTACACCAAGATGACGTCCAACCAACAGCGTTCAAGAGACTGAAGGAACCCTGGACATAAATGTGCAGATATCGGGAGAGATGAAAAACAACTTCACCAACCAGCGAAGGAGGAGAGGAGGAGAGAGAGATCTATAACTGTCTCATTCCTGATTTTGTACTTTACTGTATTAGAAGTGGAGTGGAGTGTACATTATTTTGTAAAAGTAGTGCTGTCTGTATCTGTAAATAATCTATTTAAATTCCAGTTGTTTCTTGCTTCTAATTAATATTGTCAGGAACTACTAAAATATATTAGGTAGTTCATGTTGCATTTTGATGGGTAATCCTATTGCTATTTTGTCCATTTCAAATGTACTGAATGTTTATTATGTTACGTTAAAGTATATGTCAGGTAGAAGACAGGTTTTCATGTGTTTTCTAATAATTACTCAGTTTGATTGTGTAGGGTTTTATGGCCTGCACTCACACTTGCACATCAGATGACATCATCACACAGTGCTGTTTGTTTACATGTGCTAATGGTTTTAATGTAAAAAAAAATAAGTCCAGTGGCAGAAATATCTATTGAATAGTGAGGCAGATGTGTGTCCTATTATGATACGCGCTCCTCTATGAGTTTATAGATATAATAACAGCGCAGAGCAGTGATGACAGCCAGAGATGAGAGGCAGCTAAACTTCTGTCTGTCACAGTCCTTATGGAAGGTAAACGCAGATTCACTGTGTGTTTTGGAGCAGAGATTTTTTTGTCGTTTTCCTCATATGAGTAACGTCAGAGCACACACAGGGCTCGTACAATAAAGTCGTGTGAGCAACTGTGCCGTGCTTTTGGCCCACCTCCTCCAACCGGATCAAAGTGCCAAGTGCCATGGGCCTGGGCACAAATCGATTGCACTCACACTGGACATATATACCGAACTTTAGAGGCTTGGGCACGGTTCTAAAGTCCTGGTGTGAGTGCACTCTAAATTAGGCAAAAATGTTAGTAAAATCTTAAATATAATGACTTCTGGTGGAGGGTCTGTCAAATGTTTTTCTCCATGGAGACATTATTGCTTTGTCTGGAATGTTTCACAGTATGGCATCAAATCTTTTTATCTTCATGTAGACCAAAACAGACCAAGTTACAGGTCAGATCTGTGGAGAGGCAAATTTGCTTATAGTCAGAATGTTTTTCTAGGTATTTTTGAGCTGTAATTTAATAAATATAAGCTTGAGCTGTTTAATGACATACTGTGGAACATTTCAGGCAAAACAATGACATGAAGCAGATGACAGACCCCCAACCAAAAGTTACATAGTGCACATTTAGCTATGTTTTAATGGAAAAAGTACTCAGAACCTCATATGCTCTTTAAGATTAACATGCCAACATTAGATCACATACAGACAAGTTATTAGCATGTAAACTCGTGTATTGTGTGACCCCCATTTTGTTTTTTTTATATTCAACACGGTCAGGGTCAGGCTAGCGCGGCAGAGAGGCTGAAAACAAGAACGATGAGAAACAGAGAGGGACCAGAATACATCGACTACATCAGAGACGAGTGAGACGGAGCACAGCTGGAGACTAACCTTGGATAAAACACACAATACCCCGTCCATATTTTTAGATGTGATTCAGCAGATTTGACTGAATGGCCTGACTGCTGCCAATCTCTATCACCCCTGCTGTCCTCCCGCTACCCCTGCCCTTGGCTTACACAATCTTTTCTCTCTCTTTTTTTTTTTTTCCGGCTTTTTATAATCCCATTCTCGTCATCCACCTTACCTTATCTGCACCAGGCCACATACCGCGTCCCCCAAAAAGATTCCCAAAAGTCGAGGGGAATAATCCTTCTCACAACTTTTTCGTGGGTCTTTACATTGTGTTTTAACATGGGTGTGCTACAGATTTTTAAGATTATTGCGAGTAAGTAAGTAAACATAGATGATTAACGATAATATTAAAACTAATAAATCCTTAATTTTCTTTCATTACCGTTGTCTAATATATTACCGTTGCTCTAGTATGTTTATGAAATCAAACTGTGGAAAAATTAAACAGACAAAACCATTTTTTCTTTCTGTTTATTTCTTGATGTGCAGATTGAATTGAAATTGCTTAAATTTTCTGCAGAAATTGTCATGATTTTTATTTATTTAATTATTTTTTTGAGTGGTCAACCAAATAATCTTGACATCCCTTATACCAATTTTTTTCCTTGTTTTTGTGTAGGCCTGTCACGATAACAAAATTTAAACCACGATATATTGCTACAGACATATATTGCAATAAATTATGTTTTAATTGTGTAAATATACTGCCACTTCTTTAGCGTCATTGCTCTTTTATTTCTATGTTAACTTGCCATTCTGTTTAAAAACAAAATACCTGATGCACTGATGACAAACTGGGAATGAAACATTATAATTGGGGAAAAATTCCTTATACCAGTGTTTATCAATATTGGCGCTGATATATTTCGTTTTTCAGGTGATGCTGGCTGAGCGGAAGGGCACAGAGGAGCTGTTTGCTATAAAGATCCTGAAGAAGGACGTGGTGATCCAGGATGATGACGTGGAGTGCACCATGGTGGAGAAGAGGGTCCTGGCTCTGTCCGGGAAGCCTCCATTCCTCACACAGCTGCACTCCACCTTTCAGACCATGGTACGCACACCGGGCTCTCGTGTGGGCCGGTGGAATTCATGAAAAAGATAATTTCAGCTGCTTCTGTTTCTATCATTTCTGTTGTGATTGTGGTGATGTTTGTAATGTGTTTACTGTATATTTGCTAATTACACTGATTACACTTGACATATGTTTCTCTTTGATAGATTTTGCCAGTAAAAACTGCTTCAACATTTTATAATTAACATTGTAATATTAAACTAGACTACCGACAACACTTCAGCAGTAGATTTGGAAACATCTGTTAAACATAAAAGAAAGTACTGTAAATATGCACGAAATAGTTAGTGCTAAAACACCTCACTTGTCAAATACGAGTGCTAACCACATGCTAATGAATCTTTTGACCAGGAAATTACAAGTATCTGTAAATGAAACAAACAAAAACTTGTGCAACCCTTCTCTAACCCTGCCCTGTATTAAATAAGCTGTCAGAGTAAATGTGAGTTCAAAGTGTGAAATAGTCCAAAAGTGTGTTGTTGGTTGGTCCTGACGTCAGTGCTCTATAAATAGGCCAGTATTTGGTGACACTGGGTGTGTGGAGCTGAGGGCAGCTCTGCTGGTGAACACGGCTCCTCCAGCCCTCAGCTGGAGCACAGCGCTTTGATTCATGCTCGTCTTGTGACGTATAATCCATATTACACTCAAGATGAGTCAACAGCAGTAAATATAGAACTGTGCACCCATATTTACCAGTGCATTTACATCCTCTGCACTTTATTTCAGAACATAGTATCATAGAGATCAGCATAATTTAGAAGCTTTAGCTCAAACTCCACTTGTTAATCCCAAGCAGCAGTGTTGTGGAATCAAAAGAACTTATGTACGTGGGATTTTCGGAGCTGTACGTAGAAGGAAATCTCACACACAACAGTTTCTGCGGTGGAGGCCTGAATCTCCATTTCCCTCTCATATTCAGAGCGCAGTGTGCGGTGCCCACTGTTCTTCAGACTTATCAGCCAGTGCAGGCTCTCTGCACACTCTGCAGACAGCTTACAGCCCACAACACAAACACCAAAGCCCTCCACTCCTCTCCTCATACTGTACCTTATTGGCAATTTCTGTAGATAATGGAGAGGAATTGCCTGTTTAAATTGGTGTTGCTGTTAAGGTGAGTCGCAGGCTGATTGGGCGCTCAGTCACGTCTCCGCTGCTCCTCTGTTTTTCTCTGGCTTTTTTTCTCTTCATTTTGATCCACTCCTCCCTCCCTCCTCTAATGCGGCCTCATTCCCTCCATCCGTCTTCATCTACCTGCAGCGGTCATTTGTTTTGCCTCTACGCTGACCTCTCACTCAGTTACGGTATGGCCTATATCGTGTTGTGGTCGTGGCTGACCCGTGCTCTGCTCTGTGTCCCCAGGATCGGCTGTATTTTGTCATGGAGTACATCAACGGAGGAGATCTCATGTATCAGATCCAGCAGGTCGGCAAGTTCAAAGAGCCACATGCAGTGTGAGTACAAGAAGCAGAATGTACACGTACCACAGGGGATTATGAGAGGGAGGGTGCATGGTGAGGTTTGGTGAGGTTTGATAAGGTCACAAATTCAAATCTTACTACTAAATAACTCATGTGGAAAAGATGAAAGTTATTATATACATACTGTAATACAGAAATGACAAAATACATGTCTTTCTATCCCACTAATATTACAATATTCTAGGACAGCATAAAATACAACATTCTATAGGCGAGGAATATTTAATATAGTTGGGGGCAGCAAAAATGAATAATCTTAAAATGCAGCCTTTTGTTGTAATATAGCAAGTTCAAGGGTCTAGTCACTAAAAGAAATGACATAATCACATTTCTAGAACCTGAAAACTACAAAAATCCATATTTCCTGCTGTTCTGTTAATTATTTTACGCCCAAACTCATAATAGCTCTGAAGCTAAGCAGGATTGGGGCTGGTTAGTACTTTAATGGGAGACCACTGGGAATACCAGGTGGCTCTAGTGCAGACCTGGTCATTGTACAGTTCCCAAGCCACACATGGCCCTTTGTTTGACTCTGACCGGGCCGTTTAAGCTCAATTGGAATTACAAAATAAACATTTTATAATTTTACCTCATGCATGGACTAAAGCTGCATTGCCTCACCTCACTTTTTCATTGCTTAGTCATAACATAAACTCTTACCAGTCTTATCAGCTTGTCAGAACAATGCTATTTACTGCTTTTTATAAAGAAATACAATTAATATTATGCAGAACTGAATTAAGCATTTTGGGCCAGACAGTACTCTGGTCAGAGAGTAGAAATGGACACCAGAATATATTTTTGGAGCCTATAATGTCCTGTCTTCTATCTTTTTTGCTGTCTGTTAATCTATCCTTTCATCTGGTAATCTATAGGAACATTTTATTTATTATATTACTAACTGAAGTTACACACGTATATAATCAGTCTATGAGTAACAGTTAAACAGTTTACATCAACAATCAGGTAAAAGAATCAAGTTAATAAAGTTGATTAATGTCAGAACATTACATAGCAATTAAAGAAACAATTAGATACATGCAAACCCACCTCTGTACATACAAAAACTAAATTCTGACTAAGAGATAGACTCAATACTCAATACCAACTCCAATACCACGATGAAACACCCTTTCTTTAGACAATAGAATGACTTTTTTCCACATTAACTCATAGTACCCTATTTTTCGAACTATAAGGTGCACTTAAAATCCTTTTAATTTTCTCCAAAATTGACAGTGCACTTTATAATCCTGTGCACCTTATGTATTAATTCTGGTTGTGCTTACTGACCTTGAACTGTTTTTATATGGTACACGGTGCCCAAAAATCTGTCAAAATGTTTTAGTATGACTTTGGTAAACTATGAAGCCGCACCACTTGATGGATTGTTGGAGCATTACGGCTACCATAGTCAGGAGCCTCGCGGAGTAAAGCCCAATTCACGGTCCTTTAGTACGACAGAAGCTGAATGCATCAGCAGCACAAGGAGCGAGCTGTTTTTTTTTTTTTTCAGCGCTTATAGTTTATGCAAATTAGCCATGTGGTTTTAAGTTTTATTCTGTTTCTGTAAAACGTAAACAAATGTGCTCAAAGCTGCATTAAACACATTATTACTCAATGTGTATTTGAGTCCTCCTCGTAGGAAGTAACTCGTAGGAAAAACTAACTTAAATTATCCACCCATATTCATATTCATAATACACATTCACCAAGACAGGGAGGCGATGCCGGGCCATTTATGCCATGATCTGCCGATGGATTGTAGATGCCTGGGCTAAGGGATCAATCTCAAGTGTCGTCCATTTGTTTCGCTTAATGCGCCTTATAATCCGGTGCGCCTTATGTATGAAAATAGACGAGAGAATTCAACATTACTGATATTGTGCCTTATAATCCAGTGCGCTTTATAGTCCGAAAAATACGATACTTTCTTTTACATAAGTGATACTTTCAATACTTATTTTATATTATGACAATATCATCCACCAGTATTACTACAATATAGTTAGCAGCAAAACCATCCTTGTATGCGCCAAGTTTCTCCTATAGATTTTTACAAGATTTTGGCTTCTCGGGCTATACAACACTGCTCCTGTCCCCAAACCTCCACCGGCTCATACACAGCAGCTGCTCGGTGTTTTGTATTATTGCGAATAAGCCATCAGCCCTGGCCGTGGTGAGGGATGTGATGGGTGCTGCTGGGCCATAGCTCGGGGCACAAATCTGTTGTTCCCCCCGGTGAACCTTGCCGCTGTAAAGTACTTGAAAGTAATGCGAGCTGTGAGTTTCCAGCGCGCGGCGGAATCCCTCACCGAAAGTGCAGAGAATAATTAGGGTGGCTGGCGAGATCACTGTTGTCAAGGCGGTGGGGGGAAGGGGAGGGCGGGAAGGCTGACACGTTTGACAAGCGGGCTGTCTGCGTTTGTGGGGATAGAGCTTTGTAGCCCGTGGCAGGTTCTTTAGACAGCTGAAGGCCAAGTCCAACCAGTGAGGAACTCTTTTATCTCAGTACATCAGCTTGTTCTGCTCTGTTTAATTAATTTTTTTTTCAACGCTAGAGAATACCGTGCGGGGAATAATAATGCCTTTGTACTGCTGTTTTTTTTTTCTTTTCTTTTTTTCTGGTAACACTTTATTTTAGTGTGTACTTGTTAAACTGTTACTAGCTGCTCATTTGCATATGTGTAAGTGGTTTGCTCTGTGTTAATGCGTATTTATTTGGCTCTTATTAAAATGATTCTACCTCATTTTTTTTCATGAAGTTAAGCAAAATGTGTCTTGCGCGAGTACAGATATATTGAAAAGCAGGTCTTTAGGTCAAAATTTAACTGCTGTGTGTAATTATGAAGCGTTTTATTGTCCTAGAATCAGGATTACCGTGCATTACCATGATGGCAAAACTCACCTCTGGCCTTAGAAAGTTGCTGTGAATAATTAGGTTACTCGGAATTCATTAGGTAAGTGAGGAATAAAATTTTTTAAAAGAAACTAGGTCTGTTTGTTTGTTTTTTTAAGATGGTAAAAATCAGGCATTGTTCCTTGAATATCTTACTCTGCATAACCTTTTTTTGCTACTCATTTACCAACACTTTATCCTTCAGAAACTTTGATCCTGATTGCCTTTTTGGTTGCTATGAAACAGGCATTTGCAATTGGCTTCATTTGACGATATGGGGGAAGTCACACTCCCCCAACCCACTGCTGCATACAGTCCATGATAGGAATGGGCATGATCAGTCAACTAATCGGTAATTGATCATTAAGAATTTTGTCGATCACATTCATTTTTAATCAACAAACCAAATGTCGGTTGCTGTGCATATGGTAAGGAGACAAGGCTGCTTCTTACAGCGCAAACACTGGAGTTGCAGCCTCACAGTCCCCACGTTTCAGCTCTGGCTCCTCCTTGGAGACTCCATGAGTGCGTTTACATGCACATCAATGTCCTGGGTATGTTCAGGTTTTTTGAGTATCCCGGTTTTGTCATGGTGCATGTATACGCAGTGTCCAAAAGACAAACACTTTTCAGTCTTTTCATCACAACAGTAGCCAAAATAAATAAAGTGACAAACATAAATAAAGTGAGTGAAATGACTGTTAAATAAAGAGCTGCACTAAACCCGCACATGTATGATCTCTAAAACATGAGGCTTCTCTAACACGATAAACACACAGAACAGACTTAGCATTATCATCATCGACATCCCTCTGTCACTGAGAGAACACTTATATTCCACTGAGTCGTGTCCTTTAGTCTGACAGAAGCTGAAGCGTATCAGCGCACAAGGAAAGAACAGTTTTTTTCAGTGCTTATAGTTTATTCAAATGAGCCATGCAGTTTTAAGTTTCGTTTCTGTAAAATGTAAACAAATGTGGCAAAGCTGCATTAAACACATTATAATCTCAAATGGGCTGATGTGGCTCTGTAGTGGTTATGGTTTATATGTTGTAAAGTTGAGTTTATTCATGCAGACTGATGATAATTGTTTGATAATAATGATGATAATTTTAATATAAAAACGTTAATGTTTAATCGAAAATTTATTGTTCATTCTCCCGACGATCGATTTAGAAAATTTATTTGAATGCCCATCCCTAGTCCATGATTAAGATCCTAATAGACTTTTGGTGTTTTTAAGAGCTAGTACCAAAAGCAATTTAGTTTTTACTTATGAATGCTTATTTATGCACAAAATCACAAAATGATCCACTTACAAGTATGCAAATTAGCAGCTACTTAGATGTTAGTAACCCTAAAATGAAGCTTTTTGTGTTTTTCTGTTTGTTGTATCAGCAGCTGAAAAACAGACTCCACAAATTGCTCACCTTGCCTAAAATGGCCGCTCGTAACACACTGTTTGTTTACGGGCACATAATTACGGCGGAGCGGTCAGCGTGTCCAGGCCGAGTGGTGCTGTTGATCTTATCAGCTGCTCTCTGGCCCGGTGGAGACAGCTCTGACCTTTCCCCAGTCACAGACCCTCAGACAGGCCCGCGCACACAAGATATGCTCTGTTTTCCTCTTGTCCTTTAACTGCACACCGTTCTAATTAATGTGCGCACTGCTCTGTGTGGACGTGCAGGTTCTACGCCGCCGAGATAGCCATCGGTCTGTTCTTCCTGCATTCAAAGGGCATCATCTACAGGTGAGAAAAACGGTTTGATGGGGTTTACTCTGAATGTGAGCGATTAAAGGTGCGCTGTGGAACTTTTATAGTGAAGGATACGTCGCCTGCTTGTTATTGCGTATCCTGGAATGTTCTAGTTTTTATTCATTTACAAGTGCTTTTATTGCTCTGAAATGTTTTAGAAAACTCATGCATTCTCTCTCGTGATCTGGTGGAACTATCTGCATGTTACTATGGAGATACATTCGAGGCATACTGAGACATATTTAGGCAAAGCGAGAAGATCTCTGAAACAAGCAGGAGGCAGAAAGTCACAATAGTTTCACTGTGCACCTTTAATTAATCAAAAATGTTAGTAAAATGGTTGTGTGGGTCTTTAAGCAAGGCTGCTGTGCTCTGTGCACATGTTTTCCTGTGTGTTTTTTTTAAATACAAATGACAACTAACCTAATCTTAAAGGTCTTATGTTACACAGAAAGTGACTCTTGTGAGCTTTAAGCCATGCTAGAATGCTGTTACTTCAGCAAAAGCATACCTGGACAGGGTAGCTGCGGGATCTTAAGTCTTAAAAAGGTCTTAAATTTCATGTTCCTAAATTAAGGCCTTAAAAAGTCTTAATTTATGTTGTCTTATTTTTAAGTTTTCTCAAAGGTCTTAAATTAAATTAATTAATTATTCATTAACCTGTTTTTTGTGTACTCAGCCAGGCTGTAGTGCAATGTTAAATGGACGGAGGAAAAAACAAAAACAATGTGAAATAACGTGAATGAACATCTAATTTGGAGTATGCGCAAACAATACTTTGGTTTTTGGCTCCAGTGGCAATGAGTAAACAATAAGTACAGTGGAGGAAGACGTTGGATGGATCATGGGGAAGTGTAGGTTTAATCCACAGTCTTAGATTCTAGATATGGTCATTATTAGAACTGGGTCTGGTGTTTTTCGCCCGCATAATGGGTGCGATGTTAGTCTTAATTTTCATTTAAGTGGTCTTATAAAGGTCTTAAATTTCAGGTAGGGATACCCTGCTGGATTTGAATTAGGTTCAGCTGGTATGAAAACAAACACTAAATAATAAATTATAAATAATAAATAAATTATCGGAAGACCAAATTAACCTCATTGGAATACCTGGAGTTGTTTGGTTCATTCACACATGTTCGAATAATTCTGCATTATTAGACTGTCTATATCTAAAACCTCAAATGCTCTTTTCCACCTTGTGATGTCATGCAGTTGGAGTTTTTAAGTTAATAACTACCTTTTACCTTTAGTTCAGTAAAGACAGGCAATTCCAGGGCTGAAATTATCCAAATGATTGTGAAGGTGTATTCCTGTATTACCACATGACATCACAAGGTGGAAGAGGGTGTTTTCTGTTTGAAAACTGTTTGAGCATAAATATGTAGGGTTTGTGTGTTAAACATTCATGAATGAAACAAAACAAGGTCTGTTTTCGATGATCCGAATCTAATCTAATCAACATCATAACATAGATCAGAAAATGAAGTAATATTGGGTCCTTAAACACTTTTGGATCTTTTCATAGGTATTTTAAGTTTTTATAAATTATGAAACCACATTCACTTTCCATTTGAACAACTGGGGGAGATGTCTGTTGTCCTCAGCTGACAGCAAAGGGGAGTGAAGCATATTTAGAAATGGCAAATTATCAGCATGGCTATTTGTCGCTAATGCTTCATAATCAATGATATTTAACCTCTGAAATGATCCAGATTAGTCTAGTGTCACTGTTCGGACTTTATAAACTCAAAATTCAAAAGCACTTCCTGGGTTAAGGTGCTTATGAGAGAGAAAACTTAAGCATGTGTGTCTAATTAAAATAAGTGGACCTTGACAAAAACATAAGGCCAGAAACTGCATCAATAAGGCAAAATATCTCCTGGAGTACGGATTAGACTCCTCAAACTTTAAAGGGCCTATATTACTCTATTTTCTCATCTGCAGTATGTTATAATGTTGTTTCCTTATCAAAAACATACCTGGAGTTGAGTTTTGTTTCATTCACATGTGGACAGACAAATAATAATAAATGGTTACTCAAATAGTATGTGTGAGTAAAACGAAACACAACTCCAACATAACATGGCTTAAAGCTCCAGTCAATTTTGCATAATATAGAACCTTTAAAAAAATATTTAGCATATTTTGTAATGTCCACTGAAAACATAATTATTGTACAATCTGTAACCGTAGCTCTGTTGAACCTCTTGCAGAGACTTGAAGCTGGACAATGTGATGCTGGATTGCGAGGGCCACATTAAAATCGCAGACTTCGGGATGTGTAAAGAAAACATGGCCGATGGAATCACCACCAAAACCTTTTGCGGGACACCGGACTACATCGCCCCAGAGGTGAGTACACAAGGTTGTACTTTACTTCAGAGAAAGATCTGTAATTCATGTGCTTTTGTTTTCTTGTGTTTAGATCATCGCTTATCAGCCCTATGGTAAATCTGTGGACTGGTGGGCCTTTGGAGTGCTGCTGTATGAGATGCTGGCTGGGCAGGTTGGTTTTAATTTCATTTGTAACTAAAGTTATAAATTAAGATGTTTATTTTTTTCTCAGAATAAAACTTTTATATTCTAAATCAGTGGTCACCAACCCCCAGGATTTGGTTAAACCAGAATTAAAACCAGGATTTAAACCAGGTCTAAACCAGGCCTAAAACCAGGATTAAAACAGAATTTAACCAGGTCTAAACCAGGTCTAAACCAGGATTTAACCAGGTCTAAACCAAGTCTAAATCAGGTCTAAACCATGTCTAAACCAGGCCTAAAACCAGGACTAAATCAGGACTGAAACAGGTCTAAACCAGGTCTAAACCAGGTCTAAACAACGTCTAAAACCAGGACTAAAATGGGACTAAAACAGGATTTAACCAAGTCTAAACCAGGTTTAAATCCAGGAGTAAAACAGGATTTAACCAGGATTAAACCAGGTCTAAAACCAGGTCTTAAACCAGGACTAAATCAGGATGAAAACAGGATTTAATGAGGACTGAACCAGGTCTAAACCAGAAATAAACCAGGTCTAAAACCAGGTCTAAACCAGGTCTAAACCAGGTCTAAACCAGAACTAAACCAGGTCTAAACCAGAACTCAACTAGGACTAAAACAAGATTTAACCAGGACTAAACCAGGTCTAAACCAGAACTAAACCAGGACTAAAACAAGATTTAAAAAGGACTAAAACAGGTCTAAACCAGAACTAAACCAGGACTAAAACAAGATTTAACCCGGACTAAACCATGCCGCACCTCCTCCCATGTGCCACCGGTCCGTGAAAATACTGTCCCTAAGAGCGCCGCCCGGTCAGCGAAATATTGTCGGACATAAAACTGGTCTGCGGCACTAAAAAGGTTGGGGACCACTGTTCTAAATGACTGGTGAGACTGTTTTAGAATATAAAAATGATCAATGAATCCCATGTTAAAGGGCCCATATTGTGCTATTTTCTGATTTATGTTATAATGTTGTTTCCTCATCACAAACATACAGGCTTAGTTCTTCTCTCAAATGGAAAACACTTCACTTAGGGATGCCATGCTGTAATACAGGGAGTGCTCCACTGTGTTTTTAAAAACGTACACCTTCACTGGAATCATTTGGATGGTTTTAGCCCTGGAATTTCTAATCTCTGTTACCGTATTTTCCAAACTATTGAGCGCACCTGAATATAAGCCGCATCAACAAAATTTTAACAACATTTTTATATTGTACGTATATAGGCTGCATCTGAATATAAGCCGCAGGTGTCCACGTTTTTAAGAACGTTTTCAAGTTCGGGCCGTCTGCTTTTATCGCCTTTGAAAGCTTTTGTCTTCTTTTTGCACCGAGTCAGTTTGTCACTGCCGATGGCAAAATCTCACCATCGACTCATTGATGCCGAGCTCACGTGCAGCAGCTCTGTTTCCTTCTTCGACAGCCACATCAGTTGTCTTTAACTTAAAAGCTGCATCATCTGCATTTCTTCGTGTGTTTTCCATGTGGAGTGTGTGTGTGTATGAAATGCAAAATAACTGTTCGAAACACAATCAAACGAGCGTCTTCCTCGGTGCATCACCCCCGTCTCTCCTCGCTCTCTACTGCGCATGTCTCCTGCAAGAGCCTCTGTCCTGTCTGTACCATGTCAGTGTCTTGGAGGATTTCAGCAAATTTCAGGCTCTCCCGGGGGTGGGGTTAGTTCTATCAATCAGCTATGAGTGGACATCCGGCTACTGACGTTTTTGAGATGTTTCTTGTCGTCATTTACGTAAGACGTATCCCCCTCTCTAATGTTAATTTAGCATCATATCTTATTTTATCACACGGCGATAAACTATTTGAATGCACTGACAATATTGCGAGCTAGTGTAGCAACTTCGTGTGAACCCTAGATCCATGTGTTACTGCCGTATCCGCTGTGTTGCCAAACCATAGACCGTAAATATGAATGGACAATGTGCCAAAACAAAGAATTCGTCCAGATATTCGCCACTTAGTTTTTTTAGCCACAGAGTTCAAAGCACGAGAAAAAAGTAGCGGCTTATAGTCCAGAAATTACGGTAAACAAAAGGTAAACGGTAGAAGCTATTAACTTGAAAACCTGGTGGAAAAGAGCATTTGGAGCTTTGGAGATGGAGACAGCCTAATGATTCAAGTTTACTCAAAGATGTATGAATGAAACAAAACACAACTCCAGATACAGTATGTTTGTGACGTGCTAACAGCATTACGACATGACTAAAAGTTCACGAGAATCAATTTTGTGCAGTATAGGACTTTTAATTATCCACTGTAAGAGTTCTGTTGATGCTCGCTGTAGTGCTAATTGGCTAAACCTCCCTGCAACCAAACGCCTGAAGCTTTAATTTGGCTCAGATATAAACTCTAGCCATGTAAGCATGTAAGAAATCATGTGGCGTATATTTGTTTTCCATTAAAATCTAAAATTAAAAAGGAGTCATTCAAATTAGGGATGGGCATTCGATGAAATTTTCTTAATCGATCGTCGGAAGAATTAACGATAGATTATCGATTAATCATTAACGTTTTTATATTAAAATGATCATCATTATTATTACTATCTGCACTACTAATCTGCATAAATAAATTCAACTTTATGACATATAAACCATAACCACTCTAGAGCTACATCAATCCGTTTGAGATTAAGTGTTTAATTCAGTTTTGCGCAACTCTCACAGAAACGAAACTTAAAACTGCATCGCTAATTGCATAAACTCAGCGAAGATAAAACTATAGCTCTTGTGTCGCTGATGCGGTCAATTTCTGTCGGATTAAAAGACATGATTCAGTGGAATACAGGTTAGTGTGACCATATTTGCATTTGTCAAAACCAGGACACCGTACGGGGGTAGGAGATGGGGACTCGTCATTGACATTGCGCTACTCTCACCTGGTAAAGCTTTTTCCCACTGGACACCGAAACATATGTTCCTGCTTTATACACTGTGCACATGGACTCACACTTGTCCTGAACGCAACGGAAAGCGTGGAATTTCTTACAAATCATCGTTAAATACACATTTGTGCTTCGGTACGCTGCAGACTGACCGAATGTTTGTGTCTCGCTCCTTCTGAGTGCAGAGAGACACATGTACGGACCCCTGTTTGGTCACGCTACGCACAGCAACCTGCATTCGGTTTGTCGATTAAAATTAACGTAATGGATGAAATTCTTAATGATCAATTATCGATTAATCGATTAATCATGCCCATCCCTAATTCAAATAATAATGTACTGATTTAGTTGAATGTCGGAATGGATTTAATGTTGAAATTATGGTTTTTCGAAACAAATTAAGCCTTTCCAATCTTCTCATGTGTCATAAAACTTTTATCGCTTACTCACAGCGGGAGCAGTAGCCAATATTTTAGAATACCGCTTCTTCGAAATGATGTAACTCAAGTCAAGTGCAAGTAAAAAAGTAAGAGATGCATTTTTTAAGTAAATCTACAACCGAATACACTTAGCTCTCTGCCACCCCGCTTCTGAAAACACAACTCCGGAGATGTGTTCATGCGTTTCCTCATTTTTACTAACTCAGCTGGTGTTGTGTTCGTGTCCAGCCTCCATTTGACGGAGAAGACGAGGACGAGCTGTTCCAGTCCATCATGGAACATCACGTGTCCTACCCCAAATCCATGTCCAAGGAAGCGGTGGCCATCTGTAAAGGGGTGAGTACTCTTTCTCTCTTCTTACATCCCTCATCCATCTCTCTCTTTCTCTATCACTCTGTCTCTTCTTCCATCCCTCTCTCTCTCTCTCTAATTTGCTCTCTCCCTCTTTCAGTATCTCTTCTTCTATTCCTGTCTTTTTAAATCTCTCTGTCCCTCTTTCTCTATTGCTTTCTTTTTCTATCACTTTCTCTCCCTTTTTCCATCCCCCTCGCTCTCTTCTTCCATCCCACTCTTCTTCTTTCTCTATTGCTCTTTCTCTTTTCCTTTCTCTCTCTCTTTCTCTTCTTCCATCCCCCTCTCCCTCTTTCTCTATTGCTCTTACTCTCTCACTTTCTCTCTCTCACTTCTCTTCTTCCATCCCTCTCTCTCTCCCCCTCCCTTTCTGTCTTCTTCCATCCCTCTCTCTCCATCCTTCCCTCTCTTCTTCCATCCCTCTCTCTCTAATTCTCTCTCTTTCTCTCTTTACTTCCATCCCTCTCTCCCTCTTTCTCTTTTGCTTTCTCTCTCTCCCTTTTTCTTCTATCCCTCTCTTTCTCTATCGCTTTCTCTCTTTCCATCCCTCTCGCTCTTCTACCATTCCTCTACCTCTTTTTCTCTATCACTTTCTCTCTCTTCTCTTCTTCCATGCCCCTCTCTCTCCCTCTCTTTCTCTACTGCTCTCTCTTCTATCTCTCTCTCTCTAATTCTCACTCTCCCTCTTTCTCCATCGCTTTTCTCTCTCTTCTCTTCTTCCATCCCCCTCCCTCTCCCTCCCCCTCTCTCTTTCTTTATTGCTCTCTCTCACCTTCTATCTCTCCTCTCCCTCGCCCTCTCTTTCTCGATTGCTCTCTCTCTTCCCGCCCTCTCTCTCCCTCTCCTCTTCCATCTCTCTCCCGCGCTTCACCATCACTTTCTGTCTCTCTCTTCGATCATCTCTCTCTCATTTCTTCTCTTCTCCCATCCCTCTCTGTCTTCTTCCATTCCTCTCCCTCTGTCTCTTTCTGTATTATTTGCCTTCCATCTTTCCCTCTCTCCCTCTCTCCTCCCTCTCTTCTTCTCTCTCTCTTTCATATATAGTCATTCACGGGTGCATATTAAACTGTTAAGATTGAGCTGAGGAGGCAGGAATCCCATGCATAATTAAATCCATTGTGAAGGAACATTTATTTGGAGTGAAACAACATTGTTCACTCTGGATATTTGGCTGCTTTCCCATCGGCTGCTCATCTCCCATCACTTTCACTGTTACACAGAGACGAGGAAAGTCAGTTGTCTAATGAACACACGATGTAGTTTAGTAGTTTAGACCCGAAGCAGCCGACCCACACGTGATTACGGAGCTTCAAACAGTTTTCCGTGTTGTTTTTTTTTAAATATGGAAACAAAATAGCATCTGTAGTTTCAGAGTGTTTTGTGTCACTTTTCCGGTGGAGTGTCCATCATGTGCTTTTCTTTGTGGAGATGTTATTATATTTTTTATTATTATTATGTTTCGCAGTATTGCATTAAACCTTTTTATCATCATGGAGACCAAACCAGACCAAGGTACAGGTCAGATCTGTGGAGAGGCAGCCCCGCTCACAGTCAGAATGCCTGTTTTTCTAGATATTTTTGAGCTATAAAAACATTGTAATTGAATAAATGTAAGGTAGAGATGTTTAAAGTCATACTGTGGAACATTCACAGAGCAATGACATCTCCATAGAAACAAGCAGTTGGTAGAGCGTTTGTTCACTGATCCAAAGGTTGGCGGTTCGAATCCCGCTCTCGACATTAACATCATTGGTTGAGCAGTTAGATCCGCAGTTTCAGCTCCCACAAATGAATGTTGTTGTTGTGTCCTTGGGCAAGACACTTAACCCACCTCGCCCACAGTGTCTGCATACATTGGTGTGTGAATGTGTGTGTGAGTGGTTCCTTGTTGTAAAGAACTTTGAGGTGGAAGGACCAGGATTTATCTTCTTTCTCTTCCTTTTGTTCATACAGCAAAGACAAGACAAAAAAAAATAATCGTACAAATATGTATTTATATTCATTTTCAGATTTTTTGTTGTTGTTCTCTTTAAATTGATGCCAAAAAATAATAGCATGAGCAGTAACTAAATAAATAAAAGTGTTGTGAAGGTGGAAAAGCGCTGTATGAAGATGAGACCATTTACCTTTACGCACACCAAACCAAAAAGTTACATAGTGCACCTTTTAAGTTTTGTAATCGATCACATATGTGGATCATTATCATAGCCTGTATTTTAAAAAAGTGGACTAAGCGAGTGTGACGTCACCCATAGCGTTCGGCGGCACTCAAATGAAGCTCGCAATGCTCACGGTTACAGGAGCGATTTTGGAGCCAGACTTTATATCATGAATAGTATTTTTTTGACGGACAAAATAGCGAAACAGGATCATGTAGAGTGGGTTAATACGAACATTTCTGGACCAAAATTACGAGGCTCACAGCAGCAGTCAGAGAGAGGAATCACAATATCTCAATACAAATCAATGGGAGCCAGAGTCAGAAGGAGCCATGCAAACTTCCTTTTTTTGGATCGCGGCGGCTACCACGTTGGCTATGTCCATTTATATATACAGTCTATAATCATTATACACTACATTTTTACAAGTCAATTTACTGTAGACCGCAGTATTGATCTAAAGGACCATGGCGATGCAAGACTTGATAAGAGAGAGCCATTATGAGATGATTAAAAACTCAATTCAATTAAGTAAAAGAAGTAACAAAATAAGTTTTCTTTAACCACTCATGTAAGGGGGATTCACACTTACACAAAACCAAACTGAAACAAGGCAAGGCAAGTTTATTTGTACAGCACAGTTCGTACACAAAGTAATTCGGAATGCTTTACAGAATAATAAATGCATTAAAATCACAATAAAACTAATCAAAACATAAATAATCATCATAATGTAGCATATCTAAAAGGTGTATGCAAGGGACAAAGGGGTGGAGTTGGTGTAGGTACAGGGCTAGAAAACAGAAGGCTAGGCTACGGCTCTCTGGGAGGTAGGGAAACAGTAAAAAGCACAACAAACTGCAGAGCTATGGTTGGGGTTTTTATATTGAAAAGTGGAAAAAAAAAAATATATATATATATACAATATTTACAATATTTACAATACTCTTCAGATTTCCTCAAGTTTGGTTAATACATGTGAACGATATGAAACAGGAGTGGTGAATAAGTCACTTTGTTAATGTCCTTTATCATTGTCAAAAACCAAAGGGTGAAATTTAATGTCTGCACTTCGTGTTGAAGTGTGCATATAGTCTTTTGGGTGTGTGTGTGCGCGTGTAATTGTCCAAACACGGGTTGAGTAGGTATTTTGCGGGAGTGGACTGGCTGCAACAGCCCCTACCCGACTGTAGAAGCTGTTTGAAGTGTCTTTAGTTGAATTCAAAGTTCCTGGGTTCAGCTCGCCATCGGGATGGTTTTCTCAACCTGAATCACCTGGCCTGTGGTAAATAACAGTACCAGTCTTAAATACAGTTCGGGCTGATTAGCTATTAGCCATAGCTATCGGTAACTCTGATTAATAGTGTATCTGCTAGCTAGCTTAATTCATAATGTACACAATTGTTCAGTCCACACAATAAGTAAAATGACATTCCAATACATGAACAGTAAATGATATTAGCATACCAATAGCCTGCAATACATGAACAAGTTAGCGGTTTGATGTCTTTAGTTGAATTCAACTAAAGACACTTCAAACTCTGGCTTCTATTGGCATGCTAGCGGCAACAAACAAGACAGACAGACAGACTCACCAATTCCTTTGCGCTATCATTTAATTTGTTCTTTTCGGCATCAGATATTAGCGGTAAGGGCTCCTGAAACGTTGCATAAATAAGCATAAGTTTGCGAACAACCGATGTTATAAAATCAGAAAATTCGTGATGGTAGCTCCATACCTGTGCAGCCGTCCTGTCTCGCCTCACTCCCGGGTGTGTATGGAGGGAGGGGAGCAGGTGACTTATGGAAAGCGCGAGTGACACGTTTAGTGACTCGTCGCCATTGGAATATTCGCTATTGACTAGATTTGTCTATATTAACCTGGGTTACAATAACATTAAAGAGAGAGAGACATAAATTAACTAAACAGGGACTAAATCTGGACTAGACCAGGACTAGAACTACGCGTGCCATTGTAACATTTTGAAGCACAATACAGAGAATTATCACTACAGACGATAAAAATTTTAACTACTTTATACCACTGATTAAGATTAAAGTAAAGCAAGATAAGCTCAGCAAACCCCTTTTTAATAGGCCATATAAGCTGCAAGAATAATAATTATGAATGAAGTAATAATTAGTCAAAAGAGTGATTTATTCAACCCTCTACAGCTCAAATCTTATTGTATTACAACAAAAACACCCCAAATATCCTAAATTTTTGCTAAGAAACTGTACACACGATAAATATTTAACCTAGAAATATACTGTTATAGGTATCTTAGATTGAACAATAAATCTGTATAAATAAAACAATAAATCAGTATGAAATGTTGCACAGTATGGCATTAAACATATCTATTTACCATTTATTTAATTATAGATGTTTTTGTTGCTCAAAAATACCTTGAAAAACACGTACTCTTTACTGTGAGCTGTCTCGCCTCTCCACAGACCGGACCTGTAACTTGGCTTGGTAGCTTCTTATGTTTGTTTCCATAGAGACAGATATGTTCGATGCTGTGGAAGATTCTAGACAAACTATGGGCTCCGCAAAAGCAATTAATTAAAACTAGAAGAACATGTTTGTGCTTTTTCATCGCCCATAGATACAAACGACTATATAACGCATAATTATAATGAGATATGGTCGTGACTTCATTTTATTAAACCTAAATAAATCCATGAAGAAATTGAGGACAATTTTAGCTTTAGCGCGCCGCATGCTTGTGTAGAGTTATGTATTAGTGATGATTACTGGCTTGTAGTTCTACAACAGTGGATCTTCAGTGGAGCATGAACACCCCGCTCACATCCACCCCC